TTTGTAACTAGCAAGTTAGAAGTGAAGAGACGGGCCTACCCTACTCCGAAGCTTGAGGCTATCATCCTGAAGGGGTAGTGGGAAAACCCCAAACTTGTGGTGAAGGTATTGCATGGACTCCCAAATTTGTACCTGGCTTCAGAAGTCTTAGGCCTACCTGGCCGTCTGGAGGCCTGAGTCCTTTCATTTGTGAGATCTGACCTAATTTGGGCAGTTGGTATGAAAGGCATCCAGTCTCCAAACTGAACAGAGAAATGTAAAAAGGTGGATTTTTTGTGATACTCGATTATTTATTTATGATCCATTCACAAGCTCAAACCTTACACTGAACTTCAGACTTAACTAACTGCCTAGACCACCTCCCTTCTTTCTCAGTTACCCAGGAAAGACCTCAGACTTAGTAATCAAAATTGAGTTCTTGTGGGAGGGGAGAGGGAGCACTAGAACTGATGGTGATTATACAACTCATTTAAAGTTATTTAACCAAAAATAATAATAAGTTATTTAACCAGGAGGGGCGGGTGTTGAAAATGTTCTAAAACTGATTGTGCTGATGATTGTACAACTCTTTTTGATATGATTGAACTATTGAATTGTGTGGTATGTGAATTAAGTGCCAATGAATGGTTTAAAAATTTTGAGGGCTGATTTTCCCCCTCTGTACTGTCTGCTCCTGTAAAGATGCAGAGCCTTAGAAACCTGGCATGGGGTTGCTGAGTTGGAATTGACTCAGTGGCAGTGGGTTTGGTCTATGAAGTCTAGCCAGCCTAATCCCACCCCATCTCCCCAGGATCCACCATCTCCGTAAACGCCTCAACAAGCTACCTCGTGTCTGAAGAAAAATCACCCCTAATCTTTCTCTTTTCTTCATCCCCATAGCTAGCATGTCAGCAGGTCTTGTGCAACCTCCCAAATGTGAATGCCCTGCTCCTCTCCATCACTGCCCCTGAGATCCACTCCCCTCCTCTCTCTCCTGGTCCCTGGAACAGCCTCCTCGGTGGTCTCTCTGCTTCCTCGCTTCCTTCCCTGTGGTCCATGCTCCACACAGCAATTTTAAAAGGTTTCTAAATATCAGCTCGTTTTGCTGCTTAGAACTTACCAGGGACTTTTTATTTAACGTAAAATCCAAACTTCTGACCATGCCCCTTGCCTTCCTGACCAGTGTCATCTCAGACACTTTCCCCCTTGTCTGCCTTGCTCTAGGGACACTGGTCTACTCTCTGATCCTTCAGTAGGCCCTGCTCCTATCTGACTCAGAGCCTTGGACTTGCAATTCCCTCTTCCTAGAACATACTTTCCTTGGCTCTTCATTGAGGCCTTCATGTCTCAGCTCAGCTGTTAGCTCAGACAGATGCCCTCTTACTTGAAGTGTAGGATGTCCTGATCCCCACCATTTAGTTACATTCTGTTGTGTTACTTAACATTCCACGGAGTGCTGATCACCATGGGAAGTTGTTTAGTCTTGCTTATCTAGCTCTACCACTAGAATGTAAGTTCCTTGATGATAGGGACTCTGTCCGTGTTGTTTTTTAATTGCTATGCCCTCAATGCCCAGCATTGTAGGTCATTCATAAATACTTGGGTTTATGGATCAACTGAATGAGAAGCATGGTGTACAGAAGAGGTGCCCCAGAACAATGAAACAAGCGTGAAATGGGCATTTGACTTTGAAGAATGAATGAGAGTGAATGAGTACCACCCCAAGTATAACTGACATGTAGCAAATAGGTGGATTTCTTAAATTCATTTTAGTAGAATAATTCAAGACTTTACATTGTAAAAACAAATATGCTTAAATTGGAGTGCTAAGTCATTTCATGTGCTTTTTGCCTCCTGTTTTATTGTGCAGTTTCTGGACCCACAAAGCTGCAGGAACTCCAACGTGGACTAAAGCCACTCTGACAAGGTAGTGCCTCCTTCTGCAGTTTTATCTGGGCCATCTAGGTAATGCCTTCTGCCAAAGTCCTTCCCAGGCCTCTCCTCTGACGTCCCTGAGCCCACAGGACTATAAGATGCCAGTGAGAGATGAAGAGAGGCACCAATTTCCCCCTTGAAGGACTGATCCTGAGCGCTTCTACAGACATTGGGCCAGCTTTACCAAGGTAGCTCTGTGCACAGCCTGGTGGAATCACCACAGAGCTAGGGAAAACTCTTCCCACAGCACAGGAGTGGTCAGCCTTGAAGCGCTGGGCACTCAGACACAGTTCTCTGGAGGGCAGGTTGACAGCAGTTAACCAAAGCAGTTGACCAAAGTTTTAGCCATTGACCTGCTCTGACCCAGCTCTCTTCTGAGAGTTTATTTGTAAAGAAGAAACAAAAATGTGTGAAAAGATGGATGTACACGGGTGTTCATCGCAACATTGAATATAATAGTATAAAGTTGATATACTATCCTATGTGTACAACTGAAGCTGGGTTAAAAGTAATCAAGATCCGAAACGAAAAAGCAAAAGCTCATGGCTCGGGAATAAATTAAGTTTAAAATAATGAAAGTTTAAAAATAAATAATCAAGATCCATCTTATATAAAAATCAAGCTGTGAGTGCCAAATTTAAAATAGTGAAAAATGTTTTCTCTGGGTATTGAAAAAAAGGTTGTGTGGGAAACAGAAAGATTTCTCCCAACTGGCCTCCCCCAGATATATGCCAAACCAACTGCTTGCTACACGGGGCAAATGACTACACTTGGAGGTCAACAAAAGTAGGTCAGAGGTTATCCTCCCTAAGGGTTATCAGCCATCCAGAGCAATCACATTGTATAGTCTGTCCCACCTTAAGTAGGGCCCACTCCTATCTGATAAGGATAGTAGAAGATTGTTTCCCTGGAGAGCCCAGGGAGGTCAAGCCCACCAAGTTTAGGCCGCCATCATGAATCTAGGGTCCATCCATTCTTGTCACATGTATACCTTAGTCCCTCCCCTTCCTTTCATGTGTATACCCCTAGCTCATCCCCTTCCTGTTAACGCTTATGCCCATTGTATACCCCCCTCCTATTGCTTGTATTGCCTATTGTACAACCCCTTCCTGTGACGTATGTCTTTACCTGTAATTAGGAGGCATGCACACCCCAAAGATATATAAGCCTTGATTAGCAATAAATCGCTCTCTCCTGCTCTCTCCCCTGCCCTCTCGGCCCATGCTGTGTGCCAACCTGGCTGATGAGATCATGGCCATCCAGGAGGTGAGCATGCTACCATGACATGTGTCTGACTTCTTTATTTTACTCTCTCTCCTATCTCTCTTTATGACTTTATTATAATCTTTTTATATCTCAACGGTACAATTGTGCTTATTGAACCTGTGATTAGTTGTGGGGGGCTGGCTTTCCCCACAGGATTTTTTTTCCCCTTCATAACCTTTACAAATACCCCAAAAAAGCTAATCAATTATTTTAAGTCAGCAAAAAATGTACATTCATTTGCAAGTAATGGAATCATGAGTGACTTCTCTGTTTTCTATAAATATTTTACGAAAGGTATTTTGTAATCAAGTCAAAAAGTAGAAGCTTCTTGAAAATAAAGCCTCGAAAAATGAAGCAGGATCATGCGTTTTCCACCTCTTTGGCTATTTCAGGTCAACCCCATGGTTACTCCACACGGTTCCAAAGAAGCTTCCTATTTGCTACCTCTGAACAAGGAGGACTGGGAAGGACAAGGCATTCCTGACTTTGTCTATGGGCAAGAGGAACTCCTGGCCAGAGAGATTCAATGGCCCAGGCATGCATCTGGCATGCTGGGGGCTCTGCCACCGTCTCGCTTCGATTCTGCCATCTGCTCTGCCTGGAGACAGCGGATGGAGCTGGGCCTGTTTCGTTACCACCTGGGGGAACTGCAGACCCAAATTCTTCCCGGGGCTGTGGGGTTTGTGGCTCAGCTGAATGTAGAGCGAGGGGTACAGAGAAGACGTCCCCAGAGCATCCAGAGCGTGAGGCAGCCATTTGACCCGGGACAGTTTAACTTCAACAAGATCCAACCAGGAGAAATTCTCTTCCGTTTGCACCGGAAGCCCAATCCAGCCAGTGCTCTCCAACAAGAGGACATCCTGGTGATGATCAATGTCAGTCCCCTGGAGTGGGGCCATGTGCTGCTGGTGCCTGAGCCTGCCCAGGCACTACCCCAGTGCCTGCTGCCAGGCGTACTGCGGGCTGGGGTCGAAGCTGTGCTGCTGAGCCTACACCCAGGCTTCCGTGTCGGCTTCAACAGCCTGGGTGGCTTGGCCTCAGTGAACCACCTGCATTTGCATGGCTATTACCTGGCCCACAGACTGCCCGTAGAGGGGGCACCAAGCAAGCCCCTAGACCCTAGTGGCCATCTGCACCTGCTCCAGGCCCTCCCAGCCCCTGGCTTCCTCTATCATACTAGCGGCCCAGGACCTGACTTAGAAGCCTTGGTAAACAGGGTATGCCGAGCCACTGACTACCTGACTGAACATGACATTGCACATAACTTGTTTGTGACCCGGGGAGCCCCACCTGGGAAGAGCTCACCTTCCTCAGTCCTCACGGGGGTCCGAGTCATTCTCTGGGCCCGGAAGTCCAGCTTTGGGATAAAGGAAAACCAGGCTTTCAATGTTGCACTCTGTGAGTTGGCTGGGCACCTCCCTGTCAAAACATCCCAGGACTTCACCAGTCTGACTGAGGCAGCTGCTCTGACCCTTATCCAAGACTGTCTTCTGCCACCAGCCCAGGCAGAGGAAGTCCAGGTGGCCCTGGTGGCCCTGGTGACCCAGGAGGAGCAGTAATCATTCAACTGTGCTCGCTTCAGCAGCACATGCACTAAAACTGGAAGGATACAGAGAAGATTAGCGTGGCCCCTGTGCAAGGACGACACGCAAATTTGTGAAGCGCTCCATATTTTTCTAATAAAACTACTTAATAAACCAAAGAATAAAACCTTGAAATAAAGTTAACAAATTACCCTTATTTTTATTGTGTTTTTTTTAATCATTTTATTGGGGGCTCCTACAACTCTTACCACAATCCATACATACATCCATTGTGTTATGCACATTTGTACATTTGTTGCCATCATTCTCAAAACATTTGCTTTCTACTTGAGCCCTTGGTACCAGCTCCTCATTTTTTGCCCTCCCTTCCCGTCCCCCCTCCCTCATGAAGTATTTTGTCATGTCTTACACTGTCTGATGTTGCCCTTCACCCACTTTTCTGTTGACCGTCCCCCAGGGAGGAGGTTATATGTAGATCCTTATAATTGGTTCCCCCTTTCTACCCCACTCTCCCTTCACACTCCTGGTATCGCCATTCTCTCCACTGGTCCTGAAGGGTTCATCTGTCCTGGATTCCCTATTTCCAGTCCTATCAGTACCAGTGTACATCCTCTGGTCTATCTGGATTTGTAACGTAGAATTGGGATCATGATAGTGGAGGGGAGGAAGCCTTTAAGAACTAGAGGGAAGTTGTTTGTTTCATCTTTGCTACCCTGCACCCTGACTGGCTCGTCACCTCCCTGCAGCCCTTCTGTAAGGGGATGTCCAGTTGCCTACAGATGGGCTTTGGATCTCCACTCCACACTCCCCGCCTCATTCACAATGATATGATTTTGGTGTCCTTGATACCTGATCCCATCGAGACCTCATGATCGCACAGGCTGATGTGCTTCTTCCATGTGGGCTTTGTTGCTTCTGAGCTAGATAGCCAATTGTTTACCTTCCAGCCTTTAAGACCCCAGACGCCATCTCTTTTGATAGCCGGGAACCATCAGCTTTCTTCACATTTGCTTATACACCCACTTTGTTTTCAGCGATCCTTTAAGAAAGGTGAGTATCATGGAATGCCAGTTTAATCGAACAAAGTATTCTTGCATTGAGGGAGTACTTGAGTGGAGGCCCGATGTCTATCTGCTACCTTAATACTAGACCTATAAATAAATGCACATAGATCTATTTCCCCATCATTATATATAAATATATTTACATATGTACATGCCTGTATTTAGACCTCTATAAATGCCCTTTGTCTCCTAGCTCTCTATTTCCTTTTACTTTCCTCTTGTCCCACTATCATGCTCAGCCTTCATTTGGGTTTCAGTAATTCTCGGTTACATTGTCCTTGATCAAACCCTAATAGGCCTACTATACCCTTCTGGCTACTGATTTTGGATCTCTTGTTGTTCCCTTGTCCCTGGGTTTGTTAACACAACTTCCTTTCCCCCACCTTCCCCTCTCCCATGGAACTCTGTTGGTCCTGTTGTTTTCTCCTCCAGATTGTTTATCTTGCCTATCTTATCTAGATAGACCTGCAGAGATAATAATATGCACAAAAACAAGACAGAGCAAAACAAAGCAACAAAAGAAAATACAACAAACCAATGACAAAAACCTGAAAAACTTGTAAATAATTCAAGGTCTGTTTGTTTTCCAGTCTGATGGGGTGCCACTCCCTGCCCCCAAAGTCTATTTTTGGTGCTCCTTCAGGACTTCCTTGTTCTGTTCCGTTGCTGTTCTGTTGCACGCCCTTAATGTTTTGCCTCGGTGTGGTGGGTTCAGACCAGGCATAATTCCCACACTGTGTCTCCAGTGTTAGCCCCTGTAGGGCTATGGGCCAGTGGGGGATGTCGTGTCTCATAGTGGGGCCAGCCATATGGTCCTCTCTGTGGATTGGCTGCTCTGAGCAGGAATATTCTCCTCAAGGCTTGGTGGGCCAGGATGTGCTCCATTCTCTCTTCCTCCCCCTTACCCTTAGTTTTATCTACTTCTCTCCTTTCTCCTTCTTTTGCCCCAGAGATGTCACACCTATTGTTAAGAAGAAAGGGTATAAAAATGAAAAGCCTAACTTACTATCCTAAGTTATTGCCTCCCATGCATGTGAAAGTTGGACATTGAATAAGGAAGACCAAAGAAAAACCGATGCATTTCAACTCTCGTGCTGGCGAAGAACACTGAAAGTACCATGACCTGCCAAAAGGAAAAAAATCTGTCTCGGAAGAAGTACAGCCAGAATGCTCCTTAGAGGCAAGGATGGCAAGACTTCCTTTCATGTACTATGGACATGTCAGGAGAAGCCAGTCCCTGCGGAAGGGTACCATGCTTGGTCAAGTAGAGGGGAGCAAAACAAGTCCCTCGAGATGAATTTACAAAGTGGCTGCAACATGGGCTCGGACAGAAGAACAATTGTAACTTTAGTGCCTGCAAGTTTTTGCATAAACCATCTTGGTAGGTTGGGGGTGGTTTGTGAATATCATTTTTTTGTGATGGCAGATTTAAGATAACTGTGTGGCTGCGTAATTTTGTTTCCTGCTCAGGAAAAATGCTGCAGAAACTGTTGTGATGTTGAACACAGCTTACAAGAACAGTGCTATGGGAAAAACTCAAGTGTACAAGTGGTTTTCTCGTTTCAAAAAAGGTGAAATGTCGATTGATGACAAACCTCATCTGGACGTCCGTCGACTCCCCAAAAGGATGAAAATGTTGACTCGTGCAGAGGTTCTGAAAAGATCACGCTACAGTGTGTGGCAAAATATGACTTGTGGCAGACTGGGGACTGGTTTTGCTACACGACAATGTACCTGCTCACCCAGCCATCTCAATGCAGCAGTTTTTGGCAAAAAACAGTATGCCTCTCTTGCCCCTCTCACCACACTCACCTGACCTCTCTCTGTGTGACTTCTTTTTGTTTCCACGAATGAAGCGGGACATGAAAGGACAGTGATTTGACAACGTAGAAGAGGTGAAGAAAAAAACAATGGAGGTGCTGTCAGCCACCCAGATGAGTTTGAAAAATGTTTCCAAGAATGAAATCACAGATTTGACAAATATATTAAGTGTAATGGTGAGTACTTTGAAGGTGACAAGGTTGTTTTGTTTTTTAAAAAATGAGTTAAATATATAGCTTTTGGGGAAAAAATTCTGGGTTTTTGTGTGTAGCCCCTCGTATATCATTTCATAGTTCAACTATCAGGTATACTTTAAATCCTCTGTACACTACTTATAATACCTAGAATATGTAAATGCTACAAAAATAGCATCTTAAGGGATTGCTTTGGCCACTTAATTGCTTAAGAGCCTTTTTCCGCCCTATATGTGATGCGTTGGACCGCCCCACCCCAATTCGAAGCCCACAGGAATGGAGGGCCAACTGTACATAGTCCAACAGCATCACTTTATTTGATTTGCTTGCTCTCTAAAAGGACTGGAAATGATCATTGCCTCAAAGGAAATTTGATGTCCAAGGTGATGAGCCCAAATTTCTAGATTTTCCCAATCTCTCTCTCAGACTGAAGTTCACAGGAAATCCTTCCTTGGCCCAAATAAGTTTTTCTATAAAAATAAAAAAGCCAAGGGGAGGGGTGGTTCTTAATGCTGGGTACTTCTGAGCCGTTTAGAATTTGTGGGTCTTTAAGAGCATTTGGACAGAAGCTTTTCCGGGTTTAAGTACCGGACATCTACTGTCAGTAAAGGAAGCAGGGCTTGGGCAGGGTGGGCAGTAGGACTGCACCACTCTTGCCCGCTGAGGCTGAGAGCTTCTTGATGTTGTTAGATGCTGTTGTCTGTTCCAATTCACAGTGATCCCATGCCCAACCAAACTAAACACTGCCTGGTCCTGTACCATCCTCACAATTGTTCTTATGTGTGAGCCCATCAATAACAGCCACGAGGCCAGTCCAGCTTGTCTAAGGTCTTCCTCTCTTTCACTGTCCCCTCCTTCACCAAGCATGATGCCTTTCCCCAGCGACTCTGCTCTCCTGATAATATGTCAAAAGTTAAGTGAGAAGAAATCTCGTCATCCTTACTCTTAAGGATCATTCTAGCTGTACTTCTTTTTTTCAATTTTATTTTTTTAAATCATTTTATTGGGGGCTCATACAACTCTTATCACAATCCATCCATCCATCGTGTGTCAGGCACATTTGTACATTTGATGCCCTCGTCATTCTCAAAACATTTGCTTTCTAACTAGCTGTACTCCTTATAACATGGATTTGTTTATTATTTTGGCAGTCCACGATATTCTCCAGCACCATAATTCAAAAGCATCCATTTTTTCTACAATCT